ATTGAAAAGGCAAGAATTTATTTATAATTGGTCATGAAATTATGTGTGCTTTTTATTACCTTCTCTGAGAAAGTTAAAGTAGCTTTTGTATAAAGCAGCTTTTTCAACTTTTTCCTAGGGTGATCAAGGTCAAAGAGGTATACGTGGATTATCAGGACCAACTGGAGTGCCAGGACCTGCAGGGGCTAAAGTATTATTATTATTATTATTATTATTATTATTATTATTATTAATTTTATTACCACGTCTGGTGTCAGAAGTTGGTGTGGTGGAGCAGTTGCCAAGGGAGGAAAGGCAACAGCCTCTCCAGAAGTCCCTTTTATTTTGCATTTGTAATTATTTGTGCTCATGAAATTACCTGGATGGCAATAGACGATGCCACTTTCAGTACTGTTTGCTACTGAAAATGTTTTGTGCTGCTTCCTTTTTTATCAGTACTTGTTCCATATTTTTCTTTTTAAAAAAATAAAAATACTTTTTATAGGGGGTTTTGTGTTACAAAGCAAACAGGTAAACGGGGGATGGTACATCTATTTTCTCCACTTTCAATTCATGGTCTTCCTCACAGTTCATTTACGTTTGGTGAGAGATGTTTTTTCATAGACATCTTGCAGTTAGAGGAGAGGGGAGAAAGATGGGGATATTGGTCTTTCACTCTTTTGCCTATTCTTAGTGTAGCGGGGGGGGTGTCAGCATCACATGGGTAGGTTCTTTGTTTATGTATTCATGTATTTTTATTGATATTGCGAGAGGTTAGGGGTTCCTGAGCTTGGTTGGTTCTGTTTAGTTGATTGCGGTGTGGCTCATTTGTGTGAGGGAGGCGGGCTAGGTTGTTGGCTCAGGTGAGCCATATTGATTTTTATGCTGTTGGAGGGGATGGGTCATTGTTCTGTTGTGCTGTGTATGTAGTAAAGGTGAACCACACTGGGGTGAACGCAAAAATGCCCCACAAGAGAGCAACAGTGGTGTGACTTGGGGAAGCGTTGGTGAGCAGCGGATTAAGTGGATATGTGGTGTGTGGATGGTTCAGTATAAATCCGCCATTAATGCAGGATTATTGTGCCAATAAGAGAAGTTTCAGAATAGACTCACAAAAACAACCCACCTATCTAGAAAGGCCCACAGTGAAAACAGAGCCCTCACTAAACTAAGAGCTCATCCTGAATTCATTTTATGTGGTATTTCAAGGCATAGGTCTGCTCTTTCAAGCTCTGTGCTTTACTGATTCCACCCCCCCCCACCAGCCCTGGCGCTTCCCCTGGGAAAACTTGCTCTTTACTGCTGAATTGAACTAATGGCAAACTGCAAAAAACCTGATTTGTTGTTTGTTCTGATTGGCGTTAAAGAGTGGGTTTTCCTGGAGAAAGTAACAGGAGGGAGGTGAGAGCTCTTGGATACAGAACTTTAAAGCTCAGACCTGCGTCAAGAACATGCAGGGCAAAAGAAGTAAGGGTGGATGAGCCCTTAGGAGCATAGCTGTCAACTTTTCCCTTTTCTTGCGAGGAATCCTATTCAGAATAAGGGAATTTCCCTTTTAAAAAGGGAAAAGTTGACAGCTATGCTTAGGAGTGAGGCTTTGAAAAAAGCTTCACATCTCAATGATCTTTTATTAATTTTGTTTTGTTCCTTTACAAAGTCATTGCTGTTGTTGTTGTTGTTTTATAATGGTAGGGTGAACCCGGTACACCTGGACGTCTTGGAATGCCAGGTCTCCCTGGACGAGCCATTATGGGACCAAAGGTAATGGCCTCATTTCTGTTGCTTCATAATGTTCAGTCTGGACATAGTAATGGGCCTAGCGACAGTTGCAATTACGACGGTCCTTGAATCTGAGATATTACTGAGCGCCAAGTATGGCAAGATTTCTACCTGAAAAGCACTGTCGGGTCAAAACCATTGCAAAATCTGAATGTGGATCATCATGCGTGAACATGCACATGTCTGTGTATGCACTGAAAAAAAGCCAATCAGAGCTGGCCAAAAGAAAGACCATCTCCACATCATAGAATTAATGTGTGTTCACAAGCATCACCTGCGCATGAGTTGTAATCCATTTCATATGGGAATTTTGTGACATTTGTAGCAGCCCTTAAATAAAGGCAGATTCATTCTTTAAAAGGATAGTACATAATATTCAAAATTCACTTCTCTAGTTGCATATGTATATTATTGGTTATATATGTGGGTTTTTTTAATTGAAGGGTGATCTTGGATTACCAGGACCTCCTGGCCCAGTTGGAGAACAGGGAATAGGGATTCCAGGGGCTAAGGTAATAACCAAATCGGTATACTCATTTAAATTCAAAAAACAAATTAAAAAATAGAAAATGAACATCTAGCAACTAATAACTGTTGAAAAATGTGAACATGTTCTTCTTTTTTTGCAAACAGGGCGATCGTGGACATCCAGGACCACCGGGACCATTTGGACCAAAGGGAGATGGGTACCCTGGCCCACCTGTAAGCAAATGCAATTTTGACCAACTTGTGGACATTTTTCAATAATGTGTGCTGCCATATTGGGGAATATGGAACATTTGTCATTGCAAAGCAGTTAATAGTTAACCAATTTACTTTCTGATTTCAGGGTCTTCCGGGTCTTCCAGGAGCTCCAGGAGATCAAGGCCCTGAAGGGATTGGGTTACCTGGACCAAAGGTAAAATCTGGTAATTTTAAGTAAAATTATAAAATTATTGTTTCCCAATTAGGAGTTTGGTTTATTCTGTTAAAAATGATTGTAGTGTTTTTATCTAATACTGTTGGGAAATGTATATTACAGTTCTTAGCTAAATATTACTGCCCTGATATATAAACTTCACATTTCCGTATATCTCTATCTCTATCTATCATCTATCGATCAACCTTTCCCTCTGTGGTGCCTCTTAAACCTTGATTTTTTTATTCTGCTTAATTTGTTCTCCTTAATGATTACTTCCCACATTGATTGCTTAGCACGATAGAAGTAATAATAAGGATGAAAAAGTAAAACTGGACATTGGGAAAATTTATAAAAAATATATTTTTTAGGGTGATCCCGGTATCAGAGGACCAGCTGGTCTCCCAGGCCCATCAGGAGAAGGCCTACCAGGGCCTAAAGTAAGTTATAATGACTTCTCAAATTGAAATGTATCTTTTCAGGAATAATTATTACTGTCTCCTTTCCCTATCTCTCTGCAGCTGTGATAATCTTTGCATTAATTTATGAATAAATAATAATAAATAACAGGCATTGACAGAGACAAAAAGTTAATCCAAAGTCCTAATTAAATTAATTTGCTGATTTAAATCATCATCATCATAACCACAGGTCAAAGTCAATAGTTCACAAACCACATCACCATTGACCATTTAGAGCAACTTGGGATATGTGATGTATGGACTGTTGTTTAAGGCAACGATAAAACATATTTATTTAGAAGTAAGTACCACTAAAATCGGGACGCGGGTGGCGCTGTGGGTAAAACCTCAGTGCCTAGGACTTGCTGATCGTATGGTCGGCGGTTCGAATCCCCGCGGCGGGGTGAGCTCCCGTCGTTCGGTCCCAGCTCCTGCCCACCTAGCAGTTTGAAAGCACTCTTAAGTGCAAATAGATAAATAGGGACCGCTTTATAGCGGGAAGGTAAACGGCATTTCCGTGTGCTGTGCTGGTGCTGGCTCGCCAGCTGCAGCTTTGTCACGCTGGCCACGTGACCTGGAAGTGTCTTCGGACGGCGCCGGCCTCTAGAGCGAGATGAGCACGCAACCCTAGAGTCGGACACGACTGGCCCGTACGGGCAGGGGTACCTTTACCACTAAAATCAAGTGATGCTTCTTAGCAGATCTATGGTTAGGATTGAGCTGTAACATACATTGGACTCTCCATTGGACATACAGCCATGGACTCTCAAGAACCCACTTGTATCTCATAAACATTTTAAGTAGAAGTGACGTGAAATGTGGCAATGATTATCACATTTTGCAGGCATATAAGGATGCTATGCTGTTTCTCTATTCAGGGCAATGTTGGACGACAAGGACCACCTGGAGCCTTGGGACCTCCAGGTGAAGGTATCCAAGGACCAAAGGTATTAACATTTCTTGCATTCAGTTTTACATGCAATTTGGGTTGGGCTCAGTTTTTGGCAATTTAGAGATGTTAAAAACTTTGTTATGGGTTGATATAGATTGGAAAGACAAATAAGACCAAAAGCATTTGCCAAGAAGGTTGTCATTAATCAAGTCTGAAAATCAGAGGTTTGAAGACAATCAGATACCATCATACTGTAGTTCCAACCACAAATGATGGTGGCATCATTCCCATGACCCACTGGGCAGCCTTTGGGTTTCAGGGGGAGTATGATTGCAAAGCTGAAACTAAAAGGAATTTATGGAAGGGGACCACCAGGAGTGGAGCTTGTGGCTTAATTTGACGCAATTTGGCGCAGCTCAGATACAGAAAAGGTTTGACAGATTGATATCTCTTTCTCTGTTCTGTGGGACTGGGGTGCATGGTGGTAGAGCGATTTGTCTGGTTAATTCTGATAATGAATGAGAAGACTCTGTCATGCCAACTAGTTATGCAAACCCCTGAGCAGTCAGCATCCAGAATCTTACACAGACAAGTGACATTCAGCTACCTGAGATTTAGGGGTGAGGAACCTGTAGCTTAATGATGAGGAACCTGTGGACCTTCATCATCTCTGATCTTTGGTCATGGAAGATGGAGCTGATGGGCCCTGGGTATCCAACAACATATTGAAGGCCACAAGGTGCTGTAGCACTTTGCCACTACCTACTCCATTGGTTTTCGGCTGGTGGGTTGCTGCTCACTACTGGGTCATGATCCACGGTGGGTCACAACATCTGTACTACAAACATACATCGTGATGAAAATATTAATATGTGGCACCAAGGAGAACATATGCAGAATTCAGTCATGCTAAATTTGCTGGAATGTCTTTCAGTGTAAGCTTATTTATGAACAGGCAGCTCAAATAAAAAACCTTTCCCTTTATTTTTGTTATTTTACTTTTAATCAAATTTGTGTAAGCAATGAAGGTTGATTTAGGGTAGACAATAAATGTCAATGATTCTGCCTTGCCTTCAGGGTGAGCAAGGAATTCAAGGAATGCCGGGACCCCGTGGGGCTCCTGGAGAAGGGCTTCTTGGACCCAAGGTATGGTATCAAAATCTAAAGACCTGTTACCCAGTTTAGACCTGTTACCCAGTTTCTACCTGTTACCCAGTTTAGCTGTTTGAAGTTACTCGTAATCTATTTAAAACAAGAAAAGCAGTGGAATTAATGTTATGGGCATTTTGAAATATATAGTATGGGAAGAATAGATAATTTTAAATTAAGGGGATTCAATATAGTCATTAATGGCTATGGGTCATGATGACTATTTACTATCTCTAAGGCAAAAGGGTAAAGGACCCCTAGATGGTTAAGTCCAGTCAAAGGCAACTATGGGGTTGCAGCGCTCATCTTGCTTCAGGCTGAGGGAGCTGGCGTTTGTCCACAGACAGCTTTCTAGCTCATATGGCCAGCATGAATAAACCACTTCTGGCGCAACGGAACACCGTGATGGAAACCAGAGTGCACGGAAACACTGTTTACCTTCCTGCTGCAGTGGTATCTAATTATCTACTTGCACTGGTGTGCTTTTGAACTGCTAGGTTGGCAGAAGCTGGGACAGAGCAACAGGAGCTCACCCCAACCTTCCGATCAACAAGCCCAAGAGGCTCAGTGGTTTAGACCACAGCGCCACCCGTTCTAATATCAGGGGCAGTATGTCTCTGAACCCCTGTTGCTGGTGATCACAAGCAAAAGAGATCTATGCTCCCTACCATCTGCTGCCTCTTAGCCTGATTGACAGGTTCCACCAATCAATTCACTCAAAAGGAGTTTCTTCATACCTTGAGCACTTAGAATGGTTGTGATTATTCCAGAAAATCACATCAGTTACATGGCTACTGACTACAATATCATGCTCTAAGTGCCAGAGTTCTCTCCCTTCTACACCCCAGTCTGCTGAGGGTGGAGTGGGGAGTTGGTTCGGTGGATTGGCCAGTTTGGGGGCTTTAATTATGTCTTGATGTGCTAAGTGGTCAAGAAATTAGGATGGATCAGGCCTGTCAAGTCATGCATTGTGGTTTTGTTTTTTAATGTATGCAATGGGAATTCATATGGTAGAGTCCATTTCTGCTGCAAAATGTAGGGAACTTCCACATAATACTATCTAGTCTTTCCCACCAGTGCATGTTGTTTCAAACAGAGGTGATTAATGTGATGCCTTACAAATGTTGTGTAATTAATTCCAAGGGTGATCGTGGAGCTGCTGGAGAAAGAGGAAGAAAAGGAGAGAAGGGAAACATGGGTGACCCTGGTTCAGCTGGAGAACCTGTATGTAATAATATGCATAAGAAATCATTAATACTTTTTCACTTAAAAAATCATCTAACTACAAATGACACACATTTGAACCCCATGGGAGTGGGAGGAGTGGCACGAAGGGGAACAATTTAGAGCAGGGAAAGCATTAAATACTCCTTTCTCCCAGGAGACTTCTCTCCAAATTCCTTTCCCCACACAAGTATTTGTTGTTGATTGTTTTCTTTTTTTAAACAAACAACCACAACCCTCCTTATGCTGTTTGTTAGTTATAAATTAAAATCATTTAAATACTGCTCTTAATTTAAAAAATCTCAGAATGGTTCATAATCATGCTGTAACTTACTTAACACAGCAAAATAAAATACATAAAACAATTTCAACCTTAAAACAGTAGCAAGGAAATCATCCCACAGATTGTTCTAAGAGACTGGTGACTGGGAGTGGCCGCTGGGACCATATAACACCAGTCCTAAAGGATCTTCACTGGCTCCTAGTACGTTTCCGAGCGCAATTCAAAGTGTTGGTGCTGACCTTTAAAGCCCTAAATAGCCTTGGCCCTGTGTACCTGAAGGAGCGTCTCCACTCCCACTCCCATCGTCCAGCCTGAGGTTCTCCTCCAAGGGTCTTCTGCTGGTTCCCTCACTGTGAGAAGCAAAGTTACAGGGAACCAGTCAGAGGGCCTTCTTGGTAGTGGCACCCTTCCTGGGGAATGCCCTCCCTTCAGATGTCAAGGAATTACACAACTTTCAGAAGACATCTGAAGGCAGCCCTGTATTGGGAGGTTTTTAACGCTTTATATTTTATTTTTTTAGATATTATGTCAGCAGCCCAGAGTGGCTGGGGAAACCTAGCCAGACGAGTGGGGCATAAATAATAAAATGTTATTGTTATTTAATGAATGATTGTCTTTTTAGGGCAGAACCGGAGCAAAGGGCGAGCAAGGTCTAACAGTAAGCAATTAATATTTTTGGAAAGAAACTTCATTTATGCAATATTATCTCAATCTCTGTATGTGTCACTGAGCAGCTGTGAAAGATTTTTTTTTAATGCTTTATTTGAAGAAGGCATATATAGAGAAAACTCACTGAATATCCAAGTATGTTGTTCAGAGTATTTCTTTATAATACTCCTGGCTATTGGGAAAAGAGGGATAAAGGAGGCCAAATGAAATAAAAATGACATTGTAGACATCACATATTATTTTAAAAAATAAGTCAGAAACCATGGTAGCCATACAACACTAGAAGAAGTCACAAAAATAAAGGAGTGTTTTTGTATGAAACCGACCAACTATTACCGGTAAATGTGTATTTGTCAAAGTGGTGCTGTAGAGGGAACTGACCTGGCCTGAAGGAGGTACAGATCTCAGTTCCAGGTGTGCTGATGTTGGTGTCTCTGGAGCTCTGTCCAGATAGTACATGGATCTTCACTTTCAGATTTAAGATCAGGATACTTCTTGCTTGGGCTGCTCTGTCTTCAACACCCACAACTGGATGTCTGGTCCTCCTGCTGAAAGACTGCACTGGTGGACTTTAACCTGCTCACCCACCTTGACTCACCTTTGTGCTAAGTCAGTGGAGGTGCTGTGCTTACTGAGATGGGGATGAGGTGAGGTAAAGTGATAGCAAACGCAGTGGCAACCCCACAAATGCACAGACACCTGAAGCTCCCTTGAACTCACCATCTCTGTCCTAGCAAGCAGCAACACTGCCACCAGGGGTGCTCCACTGCACTCCGCACAAACAGCACAGTGGGACACCAGCACAGTGGGACACCAAAGACATCCTATCTTACATCCTTGGGCAACTCAGGCAAAATGATTTGATGCATACAAAAGCCAATACAGAATTGGCTACGGTAAAATAATCTTTGGTGAAATGCAGCTGGTGGAAAAGTTGCCTTACTAAAATGTCTCCATTAGGAGAAATAAATTCTGTATTTTAAGAAATGTGCTGCAGCATCTGATTGGGATTATAATATTCCCCTGCACACACAAAAGGCAGCCTATGAACTTCCAGGGGTATTCGCATCTACTCTTAAAGCTCCTTAAGCCATGATGCATTGCAGCATTTAAGCATTGACTGAATGGTCCAGTACTTAAGTGCTTAAGCTTCATTGCCTGAACAATATTGGCAACAACTCTGATGATGAAAAATGCCTGAAATCTGAGGCATGCTAGCAGAGGCCGTGCTATAAATTGCTGGGAATAAAGCAGACGTCAGATAATGTATATGTGCACTCTTGTCTTTTCTAACCTAGAGAGAAGATATAATTAAATTGATTAAAGAGATATGTGGTAAGTTTTCAACAAGCCTTCTCATTCCGATCCTATGCCTGTTTGTGCTGATCATTTCCTCCTCCCAGAAAATGATTATTGAAACATCTGCAACTCCAAGGGGAAATGAAAAGGTCGCCCAATCATTTGATATGTCAATTTAATATTTAAAAAATTCACATTTAAATAATTTATCACCCAAAAAGAGCTGTGAGAATTAGAACACTAACAGATGTCTGCCTTTGGCAGGCACTTTTAAATTTAGCCTACATTGCTAAGTCAAAAGAAGAAAGTGTTCTGTCAGTCCCCAAATATTAGCAGTCCTCGGTCTACAGCCCGATTGTGGCTAATCTTAGATTCTGACCTAATGGGGAGTGGCCAGATTCTGACCTATCAGGGAGTTTGTCACTGTGGGAAGGTTCTTGTGATTCCATCTATCACTGTGAGCAGTGTGAATCTCACATTCGCAATAGATAATTTGAAAGTCTTGGTCATACTAAGGTCTCCATTAAAGCCATCAAGTAATTTAAATTGGTTCTATTTCATCTGCAATCGTACTTCTATCCTAAGAAGAGTGTAGCTGTTAAGTCGATTCATAGCAGGCTGCAATTGTTTGCCCTTTTTAAATTAAAAAATGCACTTATCCTCATATACATCACACATCGGGAATATAGTATATAATTAAAGCAAGCCATATGGTCTATCTGAATGGATTTGGTTTGTTTTTCTTTTTTGCAGGCTGCGGTATCAAATGCAAGGAGATACCTATGGAGCTTGTGTTTGTGATTGACAGCTCCGAAAGTGTGGGCCCAGAGAATTTTGAAATAATCAAAGATTTTGTCACTGCTTTGGTAGACAGAGTAACTGTAGGGAGAAATGCCACCAGAATTGGCCTTGTCCTCTACAGCCTGGAGGTTCGGCTTGAATTTGGACTGAATAGGTACACAACTCAACAGGATGTGAAACAAGCAATCCGGAAGATGTTATATATGGGAGAAGGCACTTACACAGGCACAGCCATCCGTAAAGCAACACAGGAAGGATTTTTTGGGGCTCGAACTGGCGTGAGGAAAGTTGCCATAGTCCTCACAGATGGCCAAGCGGATAAGAGAGAAGCCGTCAAGTTGGATATTGCTGTCCGAGAGGCTCATGCAGCTAACATCGAAATGTATGCCATTGGAATTGTGAACACTTCAGACCCAACACAAGTTGAATTCTTGCGGGAGCTGAATCTCATTGCATCAGACCCTGACAGAGAACATATGTACCTCATTGACGACTTTAATACTCTTCCAGGTAATCATGGCTCTTAAAAGAATTACTGGTCCCCACAGATCTTCTTCAAGCTTTTGGGTGCCTCCAGTCAAAGATTACCCTCTACATCCCTCACTAAAGGTCTTGGAGCAACATAGTGGATGTAGAGCATGCCATGTAGGAATGTTAGGTTCATCCATATATCCCAAAGCTATAGAGATAGCTAACTTTTCTCAGGCCAAGGGCTGCATTGACCCACATTCAATGCTCTGGGGTCTGCATGTCAGAGTGGTCATAGCTGAAGTGTAAAAGCATGCATAGTTGAAGGGTAATATATGTTTTTTAAAAAAACAAAAACAAAAAAGTCCCACACTAATAAGGAAACAGGACAGAAAAGACTTAAGAATGAATATAGACAACACTGACATGGACCAGAAATAGAATGGATCACCTAGTCCTTCTCTTCTCCCTTTGTGACCCAGGACATAAGCAAACAGGAATGAGAAGCTGAGATTCTCAAAGGGAGAACTCTGCTAAGACCTCTGTTGTTCTCAACTCAGGGCAAGGGGGTAGGAATTAAAGCAAGACTTTCTTATGTATTTCCCTAAAATTACACAAATAAGAATTTCATATTGTAGTTTCTGCAGCAGTTAATAAATGCTTAGGGCAAAATATACCAACTTTTGTGCAAGCACAAAAGCATAAAATATGATGTGCAAATTCTTGCTTTGCAGAGGGGTGGGTGCCATGCTGTTTTTATTGTAATTACTTGTATGCAGTTGCGAAGCTGCATGCTCCGGCACTGGGGGCGGAGAGCAGGTGGGGGCGTGGCTGGCGCATGCCCCAGGGGCGTGGCACATCACCTGCAGGGTGGGGCATGCATCCTGGGGGTGTGGTGCCCAGCCTGTGTCAGGGGGGGCGGCCGCGATGGGAACCACCCCCTCCTTGATGGTGCCGGGGGCAGTGCACTCTCCCCATCCCCCCCCGTTCCTCCGCCAGTGTTTGTATGGTTTTTATAGGGGGGGTGTTTTGTTTTTTCTATGTTTTTAATGGTTCTTATTATTGTTATCTGTAAACTGCCTTGAGTCCCATCAGAGGAAAAGGCTTATACTCAGAGCACACTCATTGAAATTTATGGGCTTTATTAACCGAAGTCCCCAAATTTCAAGGGGTTTGCTGAGTAAAACTTAGCTGGACACAACCCATTTACTTTGACATAAATGGCTATGCTTTGTGGGTTGCCATATGTGAAGAAAATAATGTTCTAACAGCTATTCCAAGACTTAAGGAACAATAATTTTTTTAAAAAAAATTGTTTCAACATAGTGAAAATTACAAGAGTAATATTATTTCTTGAACAAAATGTATTTTTTCCAACATTTGGGATTTTTAAATGGATTTTTTTCTTTTGTTTCAAGCTTTGGAGTCCAAACTTGTTAACCAGTTTTGTGAAGATGAACATGGGGCCTTAATATATAATCGGATTGGAGCTGGAGGAAGCATAAATGGACCATCTATCCACTCAGTATCTTCTCGTTCTTCACAATACATATTGCACACAAACAGTAATAATGGACAGTCAGTTTTATCAAATGAATTTGAAACAACAGTGAAAGAGGATTCTATAAATCTTGGCCAGCCTTCTCAACCATTAATCCCGGTACTCATTGGCTACTGGATATTTTCTGGATTCTCTCTTTTTACTTGTAGTGATTATTATTACTTATTAAATTTGTATATCACCCTTCATCCGAATCCCAGGACAGGTCACAGCTGAAAAATACAAAATGATAAAGTTTTCTTTAAAAATTGGTTGCAAATAACTGCCTTTACAGCTAGTATTTTGAAACTGAATACTTATTTTAAATAAGTAGCTTAGTTAGCCATTAAGTTATTTCAATGAAGGATCTAATTCCAATGCTTTTAATTTAAAGGTAATTTTATCTAAAGCCTGCTGCAATCACCTAATTGATGCTTCATGTTTCCATAAATCAGGAAAAGACTATTTGAAAGCTGTGGAACCTACATTTTAGTCTTGAACTTGAAGCATATATGACTTTCATGTGCAAAGAACCAACACAAGTGGTTCTTTGTGGACAGAAGTAAAATGAAGCAGGTCTCTATTAGGCTTCCCTGTATCACAGAACAAATATTTGTTTGTTTATCTATCTGTCTATTTATCTATCTAAGCTGCTGTTCCCTATAAGGTGACATGGTGGCTTACAACAGTGTAAAAATACAATATTAAAATCAGTTAAAACAATTTACAATCAGAAGAATAGGTGGAGTTCTAAAAATATATATCTCAGATATCAAAAGACTAGAGGAGCATCTTCAGCATATGACAAAGCTGAACAATGCAAGAGACAGATGCAGCTTTGTGGGGAGGGAATTCTTCAGCTTAGGGCACAGAGAATGTCCTCTCTGGGGCCACCACTCCATGAATTTTTGAGGGCGGTGGAACTACCAAGAGGTTTCTCAGCCAAGAGGGTCTGTAGGGAAGGAGTTGGCCTTTCAGATATTTGGGGCCTAAGTTATTGAGGGCAGTAAATGTAAGTTTACTGGTGATAAGTCCCCGCTAAATTTTAAAATTAACAAAACTGAATTTGTTTCAGACCAAAGAATTGCACAGGTCATCTCATGAGAACTACGATGTGGAACCTGATGATCTCACAGCTTTGTCTCCTGTTAAAGGTAATTCTTTCTGCAATCTAGTTCTTAACAGGATATGTCTCATAGGCAAAACAAAAACAAACAAACTAACCTCACCACCCTTTCCTTAAATTCCTAGAGGGGCAGCCATGTTAGTCCGCTGCAGCAAAAATAACAAATAATACTGTGACGCTGCAGGTATTATTATGGCATAAACCTTCAGGGATTAAAATCTACTTCATCAGCTACATGACATGTTATCCAGTCTCTTGAATGGTTTTTCTCTCTGTGTGTGTATAACATTATATTCTGCAGCAGTTACTTCAGCACTGCCATCATTGCCATCATCACCATCGTCATCACCGCCTTTGGCATCGCTAACAGCAGAGAAAACGCTCCCACCTTCTCATTCATCAGCTTCCTCCATGCCACCTACACCCAAACCAGGTCGTTACATGTATCAAAGTTTTAACGCTCTTCCATTTTCCCCTATATATAATAAAAATGTAATGATGTCGTTGTGCAACCTTAATTGGAGGATTTGCAGTGCCTCCTTGCAATCCGGGATTTGCATGAAGCGGCAGTGGGTGTGGAAAATGAAGGCAGATGTTTGAGTAAAGCAAGGAGAGAGGGAACTGCAAGGAAAATTGTATTATTAAACAATAGCTGAAGTTGGAGTAAAGTATAAAGAAGGTACAGGCGTCTCCCCGCTTATGCGCATTCGACTTATGCGCAACTGTGCATATGCACGCCTGAAAGTAAATAAACCTGTTTATACTGCAAAAAGGCGTGAAGGGGGCAAAAAGAGTGGGAAAACAGCAAAAATTGTGCGAAAAGGGGGGAAATGGCCATCCCATGAGCCTTTGTAACTGCAATCCCATGAGTCTTTGCACAGATCTTTGAAGCCTGTGGAGAGTTGGGGTTTGGAGAGAGGCTTGGAGGGAGCAATTGTGGAGTTCAGTGGATTTTTGTGGGTTTCCAGAGGTTTAGAGGGTGATTACTCGATTTTTATATGTGATTTCACATATACACGTAGTACCCAGGAACGCCACCTTCACATAAGTGGGGGAGACGCCTGTCCTGTGGAATATTTGAGCACTCCACATCTTTTATCTCTATCACATGAGGCAGCTGAGAAAATGAGCAGGAACAGGTTTGAATATAGGAAGGGATTGACACAGAAAAGGGGTGGGTGTGTTTAAATAAGGGTAGAGAAAAATTGAGAGGAAAAGTTTTAAACAATAGTAGAGATGTGAGTAAAGCAAGATTGGAGAAATACTGAAGAGAAGAAGAAACTCTATCCATTTATCCATCCATCATGTTGGGGGGGGGTAGCGTATATCGGCACTACCTTCATAAATTTAACTTCTAATATGGTAAATGTTTGATTAAATTTGAACTTTATTGCCACAATTACTTTTGTAAAGCACTATAATGAGAATAATTATATTTTTTTGTTTTTGTTTTAAAGAAAATCTCTTGAGCCCTCCACAATGTAAATTAAGATTAGATCAAGGACCATGCCGTGTGTATATTATAAAATGGTATTATGATAAGCAAGCCAATTCTTGTGCTCAGTTTTGGTACGGTGGCTGCGATGGAAATGCTAACCGCTTTGATATCGAGGAAGACTGTAAAAAGACCTGCGTATTTTCCTCTTGAGGTAGGAACCGAGGCTTTTCTACAGACTCTTGTAGTTCTGGGAAGAGCCTGTGCTGACACTGCCCCAATATTTCAAAGAATGCTGCTTTCCTATGCATGCTTATGAGCGAATAAGCCTCAGTGAACAAACTGGAATTTACTTATGAATAGACTTGTCTAGGATCACACTTTCAAGGGCTTCATGATCGTGGAGAGGTTCATGTTACACTTGTGTGTCCTTTCACTCTCACCCAAGATCAGAGCTTCAGAAATAAAATATGAAAAATCAAGGTTGCGCATGAAAAAGTAATTCTAGCCAGAAGACAAGCAGCAGCTTGGGATCACTGTGTCTCAGGGGGTCTTCTCTTTTTTCCCTCCCTCTATGAGTTCCAATAATCTGCTAGAGGAAGAAGCTATTCTGCCATGTCCTCTTAGAATAGATCAATGCCTTGAGCATCCTGAAGCTGCGTTGTTTACTTCTTCCAATCTTGTCCCACACATCTGCCTGGATAAATAGCTCTTTCACTTTCCCATTTACCAGATTCTCCAAGCGAGGGAGAAGTTCTAACTCCTTACCCTCTAGCAAAGAAGAGAACCGCAGTCTGCTGCATACCCACCATACATTTAAAGCACAACCCCACCAAAGAATCCTGGGAACAAATCCTGGCTACAGTTCCTAGCACTGTTAACAAACTACAGATCCCAGGATTCTTGGAGAGGATGTGCTTTAGATGTATGATGAGTACACAGAATATTTTCAAATCTAATGTAAATGATGCTCTGATAAGCAACTTGGTTACACTGGGAAAACAGTGTAACAGGAAATTGTGAAACAAGTTCTGGACACAACACTCGGATTTAATTTTGCTTTAATAGAGAAATTCCTATTTATCAGTACAAATTATATAACTTCTCCTATTTTACAGATGGCTGAAGGATATTAACAGAGACGCTCACCGAGCAGAATTCAACAGAAAAGATTGTTAGCCAAGAGAGGGGAGATTTTGTGCAAATGTATTAAGATCTTTTTGTATTTTGTACTTGATTAACAAGAGGAAAGATGACCGGTATCCTCAAACCACTTATTCCACTGTAGTCCTACTGAAGTCAATGGAGCAGTCTATCTTCTATTTCCGAAACAGAGCTTACATGCAGGTGCAATGTTAAGACACATACTGAGGCCACACATACGTTTGGATTGTATCATCACACTGCTCAGCTGACAGCAAGGCCTTGTGTCATGGGAATGGGAAGGAAAACAGCCTTTAAATCTGCTTCAAATGGTTGGATTTAGAGCTGATTTAGGTGGTTTGGCGGGCCAACAAGGGGGGGAGGGGAGATTTCTGAAAGCTGCTTCCTTTTCTGTTCTACTCACAGAAACCATATCATTGGATAACACCCTTCACATCTGAAACAATCGTGCATGCTTTGTAGATTGTAAAACATTAACAAAACAAAAATAAACGTTGTATCTTATATTGTGAATAGAAACTTCCCCATACTGAGGCTGATTTTACCCTGCCACCTGCCACGTTCGCTTTTAATTTAGGAGCTCAGCCGGGGCAATAAATAACCAGGAAACAATGGGGAGGAGTGATTTGCCAATTCAAAAGGGTCTCATTTAACTCATGGTAGAAACATGATGTTAAGAACCCTGTTGTTTCCTGGTAATATGTAGTTTCACCCCTGGGAATCTAGAAAGCTATATGGTACTATGTTTGCCAGGAAATGTTATGAATTCCTGTATGATGGCTCTTTATAGGACTTTCCCAAGAGCTAGCAGCCTCCAAGAACCTAATAGGGCCAGCAAAACTATAACCCGTAGTTACCCCTTTCCTTATACACACATCAAATTCTCGCTCCACAATTTTCAGTTTGCCTGTGGACTATATTCCGGAATAAATGAGGATTTCTATCTGTTGGAATCTGCAGGTAAATGTTACTCAGGGGTAGAAATTTGATACTTCTTTAAGGCTGCAACCCTATGCACAATTATTTGCAATTAACCCCAAAATAGAAGCGTACTTCTGAGAAAGGAGTATTGCACAGGTTAGGGTTGCACAAGTTAATCCTAAAAACATTATTTTACACTAACAAACTCCTTGGTCATTTACATCACTTGATAAACTAGTTGGTTCCAGCTCATGCATATAGCAGCAAAACATGGTTAAGAGTGTTACTTGTAAAATAGCTCATAGCATTCCAATTATGCTGCTGAAAGTGAATATTGACAAGCAGGCAGCATGGCAAAATTACCTGTAAAGCTACATTAAATGTATCCAAATAAATTGTATATTAATATGGCTCAGTCCTAAAACTTGCTGAGCCAAAATATAAGAGATTAGAATGTGGGCATCAAACACTATGCCATGCTAGTTTCACAAAACTACTGCTTGCTCAGTAGAATACTGGCGCTGCAGGTAGATACACCAGTGCTGTATATATGTTTCAAAGTGGGTTGTTAATTTGTTACCTCTGTCAGCATATGCCCATAAATATCTGCATTCCAGGTTTTTTGTTTTTGTTTACTAGCATACATTTATCAGCATTAAACGTGCAAGAGGTACTTTATGCATAAAATATACCAAAATACTTTTTGCACTAAGTGTATTTCTGTGCCACTAGAAAAATCTGAGAAATCTGCAAAACTAACATCTCATCTCACTGTGTTTATTAAAAGTCACTGTGTCTTTTAATCACTTCATATGAGGAAGATATTTAGAACTGAATGTTTGCTTTTGTGAAAAATGTAACCAAGAATAAATAATAATCTTCTTTCAAAATAGATTTATATACAGGCTGTAGTCTCTGTCCAATTCATAAGTTTATTTGGATCTTTCAAGTGCCTTGTGGATTTAATGTTAATGTTGCAATCTATGCATGCTTACTTAAGAGAAAGTCCTTTTGAAGTCTGTGGGATTTCTCAGCAACCACACACATGTGGTTAACAAAAATCTTAACTTTAGACACATTGTACATTATTTAAAAATATTGCAGTTGCTGGCATCTCAAACTTGTATTTGATATGCATGCACACCTTTCCACCAACTAACAGAATACCTGTTGTCACAATAATAGTATTTAGTGATATTTCATGGCAATAATAATTTCTGAAAGCCTAGACATTTTTAATTTTATTTAACACATTTAATACCCTGCCTTTCCTCAAGTAGCCCAAGGGCTGAAAACATGTTTAAATAATTATTTTTAAAAACAACTTGACATTTACTTTTTTTAAAAAACCATAAAACCGCCAAACACTAAAACAAAAAAAAAAGAAAAAAGAAAAATGCAATTACCCTAGAAAAATAGAAGCAAAGCATTTTAAATCATTTCAATAAAGGAATGTTCATTTAGGGACCACCAGAATCCTTCCTATAAGTAAGGTTTTGACCATCTTTCGGCTAGCTGTTGGGAGATAACCCTCCCTCCGAAAGGGGCGTCATCCCTAGTCCCAGCCAGGCAAATTTTCTGAGGAGGTTTTTAAATCTTGTTAGAAAACAACGCGCACCAACTGGGTTCGATGGAACGTTTATTATTGATACCCCGCCTTTCCTCCAGGGAACTCCAGACGGCATACCACTATTGCTCTCCCCACTTTTCTCCTTGCAAGAGCCCTGGGAGGCTGGCTCGGCCGCCTGGCATGCTTAGGGGCCCAGGAAACCAGTTTGCTATATGCACCCTGCAGGCGCGCCTTGGCATCCCTAATTTGATCCGCCAAGCGTCGTTAACGAGAGCGCGGATCGCCTGCAGCAGAAAAGCACGCACAGCCCTAGAAGCCCGGAGCATGCGCACAACAGGCTTCTTCGCGCGCCGCGCCGAGGAAGTTTGTCCCCATCCGGCGCCCGTCGGGGAGTTGCCAAGGAACGGCGCACGGACGCCGAGACGGGGCCCGGCGGTCACCATGGCGGCCACGGCGGACTCGCTGTGGGAAGACAGGGACGTCCGCTTCGACATCACCTCTCAGTGAGTGTTCTCGCGCGAACGGGGGCTCCCTTTCTCGCTGTGTCCCCCGCGCGGGCGGCTCCGTAGCAGCAGGGAGTCCGCGACCTCGCTAAGTAGCCGTTGGCAAAGCGGCCGCTTCTTCCGGGCCTCGCGAGAGCGGAGAGCGCCGTTTCCTTCAAGCCTGTCAGCGCCATCTTGCGGGCGCCGAGGGTTCCGCCCTCGCCGTTAAAAATAAAACTCGGGATTCGCACACGCGTCTTTGGTTTCCCACGTTCTTTAGGGCATGGCTCTTCTCGGGGCTCTTTTATTTGTTAAGCGGGCTTCCTCAGGTCCCTGAACACAAAAAAGTCGCGCTTGATATATGTCAATATCAATATTATTTATTGAATTTATATACTTTCCCTACACCTTTAAAGCCCGCCCGAAGCATATTTGTTCCTCCCTAAAAGAATTATGGGCGTCGTACTTTTAAGGAATTGCTGGGAATTGTAACTCTGTCAGTCTTAAAATTTACAGCGCCCAGGATTCTTTTGAAGGGGGGGAGATGTGCTTTAAAATGCAGTTTGTATGCAGCCTCCGGATTAGATCTGCGGGTTAGCTCTTCTCCCGTTCACACAACCACTATCTCTCAGGCCCAGCCTACCTCACAGGGTTATTGTGAGGATGAGTGGGGGGGGGCTCGTTGGAGGACGAAGGGGATAAAAGAAATGAAATCAAACTGGATAAATGGTCAAGGACAGTTATTAACGGGTCTGCATAAAAGGCGGATCTACACGGATCCTCATGGATCCTCCACTTTTTAAAAAATTATTCCAACAAATGCAGTGTCAAATCACACCTGGAAGGCACGCCTACAAACTGGACTATAAAAAACGTGGATCCAACACTTTGCCGCGCTGCAGCACCATAAAAACATGGATCCGAGGCACGGATCCTCATGAATTCATATGATTTTTATATTGAAACAAAATAAAAACACCATGCTACTGTAGACCACATCTTAGTCTGTAGGAGGAACCAAAAAAATCACGCATCCACTGTTTCGTGGTGCCGCAATGGCGCAAAAACATGGTTAAAAAACACGGATCCTCATGAATCCTCATGATTTTTGCACTAGATCAGCCCAAACTCACTTTCAAATTACACATCATGTCCAGGGGCACAACATCCACCAGAGAAATCACGGATCCATGGCTTCCTGGCCATACCATGGCCCAAAAACGTGGTTTTCAAGAACAGATCCTCATGGATCCTCACACTTTTTGCATTGGACCAACCCAAACTCACCCTCAAATCACACATCATAGCCAGGGGCACAGCCTACACCACAAAAAACTCAGATCCACGCCTGCCTGGCCACGCCCTGGCCCAAAAACGTGGTTCCGAAGCACGGATCCTCATGAATCCTCATGATTTTTGCACTAGATCAACCCAAAGTCACCATCAGATCAAACATCATGGCCATGGGCACAGCATCCACCACAAAAATCACGGATCCATGGCTTCCTGGCGAAACCGTGGCCCAAAAACGTGGTTTTCAAGAACGGATCTTCATGGATCCACACGCTTTCTTTATCGGGCCAACCCAAACTCACCGTCAAATCACATATCATAGTAAGGGGCACAGCCTACACCACAAAAAACTCGGATCCACACCTGCCTGGCCACTCCCTGGCCCAAAAACGTGGTTCCGAAGCACGGATCCTCATGAATCCTCATGATTTTTGCACTAGATCAGCCCAAAGACACCATCAGATCAAACATCATGGCCATGGGCACAGCATCCACCAGAAAAATCACAGATCCACGACTTCCTGGCGAAACCGTGGCCCAAAAACTTGGTTCCGAACCACAGATCCTCATGGATCCTCACGCTTTTTGCATTGGGCCACCCGAAACTCACCGTCAAATCACACATCATGTCCAGGGGCACAGCCTGCACCACAAAAATCACGGATCCACGTCTTCCTGACCATACCGTGGCCCAAAAACGTGGTTTTGAAGCACGGATCCTCATGGATCCTCACGCTTTTTGCATCGGGCCACCCCAAACTCACCGTCAAATCACACATCATGTCCAGAGGCACAGCCTGCACCACAGAAAACTCGGATCCACGGCTTCCTGGCCACTCCAAGGCCCAAAAACGTGGTTCCGAAGCACGGATCCTCATGGATCCTCACGCTTTATGCACTAGATCAGCCCAAACTCACCGTCAAATCACACATCATTCCCAGGGGCACAGCTGCACCACAAAAAACTCAGATCCACGGATTCCTGGCCACTCCATGGCCCAAAAACGTGGTTTTGAAGCACGGATCCTCATGGATCCTCACGCTTTTTGCATTGGGCCACCCCCAAACTCACCGTCAAATCACACATCATGTCCAGGGGCACAGCTTACACCACAAAAAACTCGGATCCACGGCTTCCTGGCCACTCCATGGCCCAAAAACGTGGTTCCGAAGCACGGATCCTCGTGGATCCTCACACTTTTTGCATTGGGCCAACCCAAACTCACTGTCAAATCACACATCATGTCCAGGGGCACTGCCTGCACCACAAAAAACTCGGATCCACGGCTTCCTGGCCCACTCCATGGCCCAAAAACGTGGTTTTGGAGCACAGATCCCTCATGGATCCTCACGCTTTTTGAATTGGGCAACCGAAACTCACCATCAAATCACACATCTTTCCCAGGGGCACAGTTTACACCACACAAATCTCAGGATCCACGGCTTTCCTGGCCACTCCAAGGCCCAAAACCGTGGTTTTGGAAGGCACAGATCCTCCATGGATAACTCTCCACGGCTTTTTTGAATTGGGCCCAAACCCCAAACTCTACCATCAAATCACACGTCATAGCCAGGAGCAGAGCCTGCACCCATAAAAATTTATGGATCCATGGCCTTCCCTGGCAACGCCATGGCCCAAAAAGGTAGTTTTTGAGCACGGCATCCTCAAGGATCCTCACTTCTTTTCCGGCATGTGGGGCTCCCCAAACTCCGACCCATGCAATCACACATCATAGCTACCGGTGGGCAACAACTCACGAAGATCATGAGTTTGCACTACAAAAATCAACAAAAAACCCCTTACCTGCACTGTTTAATGTCACCACTGCAATAATTATATTGAGGCCGATAGGGAGAATATATGACTACCCGTATTTTTTCGCTCTATAGGTACACACTTTTTCCCTCCAAAAATTAAGGGGAAATGTGTGGTGCGTCCTATGGAGCGAATGCAGGCTCCTTGGCTTCAGCGATAGCAACACGAAGCCTCCGAAGCGCAGAGGGAGCGCTCCCTCCACGCTCCAGAGGTACGCGTTGCTTTCGCTGAAGCCTGGAGAACGAGAGGGGTCGGTGCACACCGATCCCTCTTGCTCTCCAGGCTTTGCCTCCGTTTCTCATCCCGCTTCGCTGAAGGGGCGCTGAGCGGAGAGGGGGAGAATTTTTTTCTCCTTGTTCTCCCCCTCCTATGGTTTGGTGCGTCCTATAGAGTGAAAAATACGGTATATATTGTACCAAGATATGGTTCATCTTCAAGAACAGATCAAATACATGCCAAAGTATTAAAGAGGAGAAAAAATATGAAACTGCCTTACATACTGTCAACTAATATCCAGATTCAAGAAAGACTGTATGGCAAACATTTAAATCAGTGAAAATATAGAATCTGAGTCCATCATAACAGAGTTTCACCTTCCCCCGGGGTAAAATTTATAACTATTACTCAAATATGACACCAAGCCCCGAACAAGCAAAACCTTATATTGACAAAATGGATGCAAAAATTTTAAGAGCAGTTCACAGTAGAACAGTGAGAACAATTATGAATTAAAAAGGAATAAAATTTACTGCAAATATTAAGCCCTAAAACAAAATTGTACAGTGGAAACCTCGGTTGCAGACATTAACACCGTGACTGAGGCACGTCCGCAACCCACAGCATTCGCATCCTGAAGCGCCACATCTGGCACAGGCACTGTGCAATTTGGCGCTTCTGCACATATGAAAGACCCAGTTCTACTGAGTGCATGTTTCTGGAAGCTGGGCAATAGCGGCAGTACAGGATTCCTTTTGGTGTACTGACCTCCCCCGCTGCACCAAGGATTCCTCCCGAGCTGCTTCAGGTCATCGCGGATGTTCTTCCGTGAGATACCATGTTGGTTGTTCTAGGGGATTTTAAACATCCATGCCAACATGACCTTACAAGGGGCTGCTGGGAACTTCGTGGAAAGCGCATGGCCTCCGTGGGGCTGTCCCTGATAAGTTGGCCCACTCTAGTCCACGGAACTGCCTCACCTAGTGTTCACCACTGAGTGCGAATGGGTGGATGACACTAGGTAAGTGAAACAAAAGAAGTGCCATGGTCAGATCACTTCCTGGTGCACTGGACTTCTCTGTGACCCTTCTCCTCTGCAGAGCGAGGGTGGGCACCATGCGGTGGTCGCGCCCGCGCACTTTGATCAATGGTTTCCAGAGAGGGTAGGGTTGCTGTTATCCATGTTGGTGGCCTTTCAGGCGATTCCCGGTGGCCCGCTGGCAATGTGGGAGTTGCGCAGGGGCATCGACTGCTCTGGCTCCGAAGTGCGCCTCTCCGACTGCATGGCAGCCTGACGCCCCGTGGTTTTCCTTTGGGCTGCGGGTGAGGAAACTCGCTGGAGACGCGTAGGAGTGCCGAGTGGCAGAACTCATTCTGATTGGACCGGACGCACGGTAGGCCAATGTCGAGCCTACCAAGTGGCGATAGCACGGCGAGAAGACTTTCTTCCCGCCTCTATAGCATCTAACGAAATAGTAGCGGAGGACCTTTCAGGTGGTTTGGCAATTTACGGAACCACCTTTAACACGGGGCCTTGTAAGACCCCAAGACCTCCTGCACGTTTTTCAATTTTTATGCGATAAAGTTGCTCATATTCGAAGGGGTAGCACCCGTGGGAGCAGGGTCGGGGCGAGAGAGTGCTAGAGCCCGTCTGGTCAAGTTGCATGGAATCAATGTTCATCCGCGTCCCCCGAGAATGTGGAACGCGCTGCTTGGATACGTGCATAACCATACCACCTTGTCTCCTTGATCATCTTCTCTCAATAAACACCAAAAGAAAAAAAA